TCGGCTTTAATCTTTATGACACTATGTAGCCAGCTAGCTACCTGACACCAAGCTCATCCTAGTTTTCAGCTGTCGTCGGTTCTTCAAATAGAATTCACCTGACGCAGGTAAGCTATCGGCGTGTTTCAGCTACTCTCTCCTGTTGATCAGTCAGTTTGTGATTCTAGAAGGGAGTCAGCGTGTGTCTGTGTGTCTGTTTGTCTGTGTGTGTGTGTGTATACGTCTGTGTGTGTCTGTGTGTGTGTGTGTAAACAAAAGAAAGAATTTCTATTATCGGTGATGCGTAAAATAATCTTGTGTTAGTTTTATGTTTCAGTTTTTGGTAACCGCGTTAGATCCGGGTTGTTTTATGTTTCAGTTTGGGGTGACCACGTTAGATCCGGGTCGACCTCCCTCCTGCTGGGATCAAAAGTGACTGTTCCATTCACGCTGAGATTGGTGGTGAAGTTGTGACAGTTATATCATAGAGGTTGGGACAGCTAAATCAACATTGAGGTTTGTGCAGAAGTTGTGATAGATAGATCAACATTAATGTTTGTGTAGAAGATGTACCAGCTAAATCAGCATTGATATCTATGTAGAAGTTACGACAGCTAGATCAACATTGATATGTGTGTAGAAGTTGTGACAGCTAAATCAACATTGATATCTGTGTAGAAGTTGTGACAGCTAGATCAACATTGAAATGTGTGTAGAAGTTGTGACAGCTAAATCAACATTGATATCTGTGTAGAAGTTGTGACAGCTAGATCAACATTGATATGTGTGTAGAAGTTGTGACAGCTAAATCAACATTGATATCTGTGTAGAAGTTGTGACAGCTAGATCAACATTGATATCTGTGTAGAAGTTGTGACAGCTAGATCAACATTGATATCTTTGTAGAAGTTGTGACAGCGAAATCAACATTGATATCTTTGTAGAAGTTGTGACAGCTAGATCAACATTGATATCTGTGTAGAAGTTGTGACAGCTAGATCAACATTGATATCTGTGTAGAAGTTGTGACAGCGAAATAAGCATTGATATCTGTGTAGAAGTTGTGACAGCGAAATCAACATTGATATCTTTGTAGAAGTTGTGACAGCTAGATCAACATTGATATCTGCGTAGAAGTTGTGACAGCTAGATCAACATTGATATCTTTGTAGAAGTTGTGACAGCGAAATCAACATTGATATCTGTGTAGAAGTTGTGAAAGCTAGATCAACATTGATATCTTTGTAGAAGTTGTGACAGCTAAATCAACATTGATATCTTTGTAGAAGTTGTGACAGCTAAATCAACATTGAAAGCTGTGTAGAAGTTGTGAAAGCTAGATCAACATTGATATCTGTGTAGAAGTTGTGACAGCGAAATCAACATTGATATCTGTGTAGAAGTTGTGACAGCGAAATCAACATTGATATCTGTGTAGAAGTTGTGACAGCTAGATCAACATTGATATCTGTGTAGAAGTTGTGACAGCTAAATCAGCACTGAGGATTTTTTTTTTTTTTTTAGAAGTTGTAATAGACAGGTTTGTGTAGAGTTTGACAGCTAAATCAATATTGAGGTTTGTGTCGAAGTTGCGATAGATAGATCAACCTTTATGCTTCTGTATTAGTTGACAGCTAAATGAACTTTGAGGTTTGTGTCGAAATTGCGATCAACAATAATGTTTGTGTATCAGTCGGCAGCTAAATTAACATTGAGGTTAGTGTGGACGTTGCGATAGATAGATCAACATTAATGCTTCTTTATTAGTTGACAGCTAAATCAACATTAAGGTTTGTGTAGACGTTGCGATAGATAGATAGATCAACAATAATGTTTGTGTATTAGTTGACAGCTAAATGAACAGTGAGGTTTGTGTAGACGTTGCGATATATAGATCAACAATAATGTGTGTGTATTAGTTGACAGCTAAATGAACAGTGAGGTTTGTGTAGACATAACGATAGATCAACATTAATGTTTGTGTATTTAGTTGACAGCTAAAACAACGTTGATGTTTGTGTATACTTCGTGATAGTTTCACAGACCTCAAATTGACCTTGGTGGTCCATGGCTTGTAAGTGGGCCCCTGACAGACAATCTAAACCTAGGATACACTGAACCCGGACGCACACAGAGCACACATGACAATCTTTAATGTCAATCACAGATCAACAAAAGGACAGTTGAGTTCCTGCTGTTTGGCCACCTGTGGCCTAGAACCCTAGCCGAGCCAGCTTGACATTCACTACACTCGCCAGTGCGTTCACTGAAGCAAATCCCAGGTTCGCAAACCACACCTATGAGGAATTCATTGTTTTCCTTGTCACTGGACCTCAGCAGGATCGTAGAGCTTCTGTTGGGTGCAGGGCCAGTGTGCCAAGGCTAGAAATCACCTCATAAAACCATATCTCTAACCGATTCTACTGATGAGAATCTACCAACACTACTTGGGTATTACGAAACAAAACAACATCTATCGCTGTGAAACGCTCTACAACACAAAGAAGCTACCCTACCATAACACAATCTATCTTCTTCTTCTTCTTCTTCACTTCCTCTTCTACCGCTGTGGGTGTCGAGGGAGATATAAGGTTCTGTTTCTAGCTCTTCTGGCTGCCTCGACCATAGGCACATCGTGCTGTTGTAGAGTTTCTCTGATGTTATCCTTCCATCTTGTTCTTGGTCTACCTCGTGCTCTACGTCCTTCTTCTCTTTCCATGTATGCTTTGTATGGTATAGTGTCACAAGGCATTCTCTCTAAGTGGGCAAACCATTTCACTTGCTGTCTTTGTATGTAATTTAGAACTGGTTCTGTGCCGACTTTATCTCTTATGATCTCATTCCTGATCTTATCTCTTATGGTCACTCCTACAGCCCTTCTCAGACATCTCATTTCCATGGTTACTAATTTTCTTTTATGGTTTGTTTTGAGTGACCATGTCTGGCACTGGTAGCACAGAGTTGGAATAAATATGCTTTGAATAAGATGTCTCTTTGTGCTGATTGGGATTGTCTTATGCTGTAAGAGGGGCGCTAGCTGTCCCAATACTTGGTTTGCTTTACTGCATCTAATGGTAATTTCTTCATCCAATTTCCCATCTTCGGTAAATGTAGTTCCCAGATATTTAAACTCAGATGCCTGTTTAATGTCTTTATATTCTATTGTTATGTTTAGATCTGTCTTCTTTTTTCCTATTGACATTACTTCTGTCTTTTCAGTGTTGATTCCCATATTATTTGTTTTACATTCTTCATTCATGGATGTTAGATGTTGTTGCAATTTCATGGCTGTATCTGCTGTCAAGGCCTGGTCATCTGCAAAGAGTAATTCGTTGATCTTACTAACATTTTCATTCAGGGGCTTGGTATTCTTGCATATACTGTCGATGTAGGTGATAAACAGCAGTGGTGATAAGACACACCCCTGTCTTACTCCAGATGTTACTGTGAATGGATGATATGTTCCTTGATTTTTTCTAACTACCTCTACAATCCCTGTAAAAACTTTTGCACACTTCGATGAGGTGTTCGCCTACTCGATATCTTGCCATTACTTTCCATAATAATTGTCTGTCGACTCTGTCTACGAATGCCACAAATAAGTTCTTATTGTATTCAATGTTCTTTTCTATTAACTTTTTAAGTGTGACGATTGCATCTGTGCAGCTTCTATTTCTCCTAAATCCCATCTGTTCTTCTGCCAGCTGTTGTTCTCGTTTGCTTCCTTTGTTCTTCCACAATGGTATAACCATTGCATGTTGCCAATCAATAGGAGCAGTTTGTTGTACCCCTGCTGCATTAAATATTCTGTGAAGCCATCTGATGCTGTTTTCACCTGCTGTTTGAATTATTTCTGTTGGCAATCTATCAGCTCCTGGTGCTTTATATTTGGGAGACTGCTTAATGACTTTTTTCTATTTTATCCATTAGTATGTGTGGTTCTAACACTGTTGCTCTGTGCTCTTCGGTTGTTCTTTATTGATGATCTCCTAGAGGATTTGAGAGCTCATTGAAGTATTCCCTCCATCTAACACAATCTATGCGGTCACTAAAGTATTACTCTAAACCTAACGTTCTACATCTGTCCAGCTACTCATGTCCATCCTGTCGACAGTCTCCAAGTCAATGCCGGTGGCCTTCCAACTCGTGACTTTAGTCAGGGTCTCTTCGCTCAGTTTGGGTCATGCAACAAACATGACAAGAAACCGTCAGAAGGAGAGTTCACTCTTTCAGCACTTAATCGCGGTCATCACTGGGTCTCGCTGAGCGGTAGTTTCCCCCTAGGTAACAACTCAACAGAACATACTTGGACAGTCATGCGGTCCACCGTGGTGACCTCTGCGTCAACTGTTGGTTTTACCCTTACACACGGTACACCGTCTCTTTTGTCTACACCGCCACATGACTGTACAAAACAGGGTTCTGGCTGACAGAAATCATCACTGAGGTTTGTGTAGAAGTCGTGACAGCTAAATTAACATTGTGGTTTCTGTAGACAGATAAATCATTTCGCATACCTAATAGTAGGGATGACCATGTACGTGTATTCTATTCGATTCTATTCTATTCGATTCTACATTTGTAATCGGTCCACAACTATCAGAAAGTGATGTCAGCCTGGTCCCTATTTTTATCCAAATCGAACCTTGACCTTGCCAATCGCCTGGTTAAGCTGATCCGTTGGTTGGGCAGATCCGTTGGTTGGGCAGATCCGTTGGTTGGGCAGATCCGCTGGTTGGGCAGATCCGTTGGTTGGGCAGATCCGTTGGTTGGGCAGATCCGTTGGTTGGGCAGATCCGTTGGTTGGGCAATTCCGCTGGTTGGGCAGATCCGTTGGTTGGGCAGATGTATCCTGAATGACATCTCATTCTGGCAGTCGCTGTCATCTTTGATTCAGTAGTTTTACATTGGCTGTAGTGTCTGATCTGCCGCTGAGACGTTTATTTGTCTACAGACAACTGCACAAAGGAGACGACTAGAGCAAGAGAAACGACACAAAAACAACATAAACGAATAGAACAATGGTCTTCAACATTCTGGTCTTGTCAGTTGGCGCCATTGCCGTGGCCTGTCTGCCAACAGGTGAAAGTTCCTTAGTCCTAACATTGTCAACTGTGTTCATTCATTCATTTGTTTGTTTGTTCATTCATCCATTACAAACTACACGAAACTTGTTCAATTCACCTTCTTATACAAAACACATTATTGTATTGTCTCTCTGTACACTAAATACATCATTGCATTTTCTCTCTACACTAAACACATTATTGTATTGTCTCTGTACACTAAACACATTATTGTATTGTCTCTGTACACTAAACACATTATTGTAGTGTCTCTGTACACTAAACACATTATTGTATTGTCTCTGTACACTAAACACATTATTGTAGTGTCTCTGTACACTAAACACATTATTGTATTGTCTCTGTACACTAAACACATTATTGTATTGTCTCTGTACACTAAACACATTATTGTATTGTCTCTGTACACTAAACACATTATTGTGTTGCTCTCTGTAAACTAAACACATTATTGTTTTGGTCTATGTACACTAAACACATTATTGTATTGTCGCTGTACACTGAACACATTATTGTATTGTCTCTGTACACTAAACACATTATTGTATTGCTCTCTGTACACTAAACACATTATTGTATTGTCTCTGTACACTAAACACATTATTGTATTGCTCTCTGTACACTAAACACATTATTGTATTGTCTCTGTACACTAAACACATTATTGTATTTCTCTCTGTACACTAAACACATTATTGTATTGTCGCTGTACACTGAACACATTATTGTGTTGCTCTCTGTACACTAAAAACATTATTGTATTGTCTCTGTACACTAAACACATTATTGTATTGCTCTCTGTACACTAAACACATTATTGTATTGTCTCTGTACACTAAACACATTATTGTATTGCTCTCTGTACACTAAACACATTATTGTATTGTCTCTGTACACTAAACACATTATTGTATTGCTCTCTGTACACTAAACACATTATTGTGTTGCTCTCTGTATACTAAACACATTATTGTATTGCTCTCTACAATAAACACATTATTGTGTTGCTCTCTGTTCACTAAACACATTATTGTGTTGTCTCTGTACACTAAACACATTATTGTGTTGCTCTCTGTACACTAAACCCATTATTGTGTTATCTCTATACACTAAACACATTATTGTGTTGTCTCTGTACACTAAACCCATTATTGTGTTGTCTCTGTACACTAAACCCATTATTGTGTTGTCTCTGTACACTAAACACATTTTTGTATTGTCTCTCTACCCTAAACACATTATTGTGTTGTCTTTGTACACTAAACCCATTATTGTGTTGTCTCTGTACACTAAACACATTATTGTATTGTCTCTCTACCCTAAACCCATTATTGTGTTGCTCTCTGTACACTAAACACATTATTGTGTTGCTCTCTGTACACTAAACACATTATTGTATTGCTCTCTGTACACTAAACACATTATTGTGTTGTCTCTCTACCCTAAACAAATTATTGTGTTCCTCTCTGTACACTAAACACATTATTGTGTTGCTCTCTGTACACTAAACACATTATTGTGTTGTCTCTCTACCCTCAACAAATTATTGTGTTCCTCTCTGTACACTAAACACATTATTGTGTTGCTCTCTGTACACTAAACACATTATTGTGTTGCTCTCTGTATACTGAACACATTATTGTATTGCTCTCTGTACACTAAACACATGATTGTTTTGCTCTCTGTACACTAAACACATTATTGTGTTGCTCTCTGTACACTAAACACATTATTGTGTTGCCCTCTGTACACTAAACACATTATTGTGTTGCTCTCTGTACACTAAACACATTATTGTGTTGCTCTCTGTATACTAAACACATTATTGTGTTGCTTTCTGTACACTAAACACATTATTGTGTTGTCTCTCTACCCTTAACAAATTATTGTTTTCCTCTCTGTACACTAAACACATTATTGTGTTGCTCTCTGTACACTAAACACATTATTGTGTTGCTCTCTGTACACTAAACACATTATTGTATTGCTCTCTGTACACTAAACACATTATTGTGTTGCTCTCTGTACACTAAACACATTATTGTGTTGCCCTCTGTACACTAAACACATTATTGTGTTGCTCTCTGTACACTAAACACATTATTGTGTTGCTCTCTGTATACTAAACACATTATTGTGTTGCTCTCTGTACACTAAACACATTATTGTGTTGCTCTCTGTATACTAAACACCTTATTGTGTTGCTCTCTGTACACTAAACACATTATTGTGTTGTCTCTGTACACTAAACACATTATTGTGTTGTCTATGTACACTAAACACATTATTGTGTTGTCTCTGTACACTAAACACATTATATTGTTGCTCTCTATAGACTAAACACATTATTGTGTTGTCTCTGTACACTAAACACATTATTGTGTTGTCTCTGTACACTAAACACATTATATTGTTGCTCTCTATAGACTAAACACATTATTGTGTTGTCTCTGTACACTAAACACATTATTGTGTTGTCTATGTACACTAAACACATTATTGTATTGCTCTCTGTACACTAAACACATTATTGTGTTGTCTCTGTACACTAAACACATTATTGTGTTGTCTCTGTACACTAAACACATTATATTGTTGCTCTCTATAGACTAAACACATTATTGTGTTGTCTCTGTACACTAAACACATTATTGTGTTGTCTCTGTACACTTAACCCATTATTGTGTTGTCTCTGTACACTAAACACATTATTGTGCTGTCTCTGTACACTAAACACATTATTGTGTTATCTCTCTAAATTGAACACATTTAATTATTTTCCAGTGCCCCAGGTAGATAATTGTAATTCTTGTGTAATTTAGAGAGACTGTGATTATACAAACATGCATATTTTTTGTAACACTAAACAATCCTTGGTAATCACTATGTTAACTAGACCAATTTGTTGTAATAATCTCTATGTACACCAAACAACCTGTGATAATCTCTCTGTACACTAAACAACCTGTGATAATCTCTATGTACACCAAACAACCTGTGATAATCTCTCTGTACACTAAACAACCTGTAATAATCTCTATGTACACCAAACAACCTGTGATAATCTCTCTGTACACTAAACAACCTGTGATAATCTCTCTGTACACTAAACAACCTGTGATAATCTCTCTGTACACTAAACAACCTGTGATAATCTCTCTGTACACTAAACAACCTGTGATAATCTCTCTGTACACTAAACAACCTGTGATAATCTCTCTGTACACTAAACAACTTGTGATAATCTCTCTAGACACTAAACAATCGGTGATAATCTATCTGTACACTAAACAACCTATGGTCATCTCTCTGTAGACAAAATAACTAATCTGTACTAGTTGTAACTAGTTTCAACAAATGGCCGCTGCTCCAACTTTAATTGTCTATCTCACAGGTGACGCCCAGGCTCCTGTATGTTCTTCTGGGGCAACAATGGTGCCCCACCCTACCATTTGCCAGAGGTTCACCAACTGCTCCATCCCCCCATCTGTCCGTCTCTCCCCGTTCCTACAAGTTCAGGAGGATGAGTGCCTGTACCCTCAGCTCTTCGATGTTCACAAGTTGGCGTGTGCAAACTTTAAAGAAGCAGAGTGTGGGCCCAACCGGGTGGCCTCTAAAGATCCATGTAAGTTACAGCCATACTGGGTTTTGCTTGACTGGCCATACTGGGTTTTGCTTGACTGGCCAGGCTGGGTTTTGCTTGACTGGCCAGGCTGGGTTTTGCTTGACTGGCCAGGCTGGGTTTTGCTTGACTGGCCAGGATGGGTTTTGCTTGACTGGCCAGGCTGGGTTTTGCTTGACTAGCCAGGCTGGGTTTTGCTTGACTGGCCATACTGGGTTTTGCTTGACTGGCCAGGCTGGGTTTTGCTTGACTGGCCAGGCTGGGTTTTGCTTGACTGGCCAGGCTGGGTTTTGCTTGACTAGCCATGCTGGGTTTTGCTTGACTAGCCATACTGGGTTTTGCTTGACTAGCCATACTGGGTTTTGCTTGACTGGCCATGCTGGGTTTTGCTTGACTGGCCAGGCAGGGTTTTGCTTGACTAGCCAGGCTGGGTTTTGCTTGACTGGCCAGGCTGGGTTTTGCTTGACTGGCCAGGCTGGGTTTTGCTTGACTAGCCATACTGGGTTTTGCTTGACTGGCCATGCTGGGTTTTGCTTGACTAGCCAGGCTGGGTTTTGCTTGACTGGCCAGCTGGATTTTGCTTGACTGGCCAGGCTGGGTTTTGCTTGACTAGCCAGGCTGGGTTTTGCTTGACTGGCCAGGCTGGGTTTTGCTTGACTGGCCAGGCTGGGTTTTGCTTGACTGGCCAGGCTGGGTTTTGCTTGACTAGCTAGGCTGGGTTTTGCTTGACTAGCCAGGCTGGGTTTGGCTTGACTAGCCAGGCTGGGTTTTGCTTGACTTTGAAGCCTGTATAATTGTACCTGTGTTCTGTTTGTATATTATAGAGAATGTGATAGATCTAAGGAATTTAATAATTATAGGATATGTGACAAAAATGTATAGATTTTAATAGTTATAGATAATTTGATAGATCAATGGGTTTTCTATAATATGATATGTATATGATCTGTGTATGTCAAACTTCGATTTCAGTTGAATGGATCTGTACAGTCGAGAAGGTGTTACTGGGAAACTAACCCTAGGGGTGTTAGGATCTTTTTTCTGCACGCCAGTAACACACATTATTGATACACTCCGTTATGAGTGACGTCACCCATTATTGATGACACACTACGTTATGAGTGACATCACCCAATATTGATGACACACTACGTTATGAGTGATGTCACCCAATATTGATGACACTCTACGTTATGAGTGACGTCACCCAATATTGATGACAAACTAAGTTATGAGTGACGTCACCCATTATTGATGACACACTACGTTATGAGTGACGTCACCCATTATTGATGACAAACTGTTATGAGTGACGTCACCCATTATTGATGACACACTACGTTCTGAGTGACGTCACACATTATTGATGACACACTACGTTATGAGGGACGTCACCCATTATTAAAGACACACTACGTTATGAGTGACGTCACCCATTATTGATGACACACTACGGTATGAGTGACGTTACCCAATATTGATGACACAATACGTTATGAGTGACATCACACATTATTGATGAACCATTTTAAATATATTACAATGTTTATCATTTTATTTTATCTCACTAGTAATCGTATACATGTCATTAAATCTTACTTGTGAGATATACATCCTAAGTTGTCGATGTGATTATGGAGACATCGCCTTGCATGAACAATGATCAGGTTTGAATTGATAATGTGGGAGTACAACTACTATTTCTTTATACTTCAGACAACTCCGCACATTCATTAGTGTGACCAGTGAATCAGATGTTGTTATGCTATTACAACGAGGGAGATATATCGTTTATTTTATGTCTTTTGAATTAATGAATATAGGTCACTATATGAATTTCACGTTTGTCTTATGCTGCATGCATTTTTTTACGTTACATATTGGGATGTGTGCTTTCATTGCGTGTCTAGATGTTCATATAAGGTCTAGTTAGGTAGCGGGTATAATTAGAGTAGTTTATAGAGATTAAATTGCAGATAAGAAGCAATTTGATAAACATGTAAGGGACGAAATGTAATGAAATAGAGTTTAGGAAGGGGTTAAATGAAGAATGCATACATTCAGACCAGCATCAAGGCATACCAATCCATCACTGGGTGACATGACAGAAAACGGTTATTAGAACGCTAGTCAGACAAAGCAAAACAGAAAAACCAGGTGCACTGTGACCAGGGTTGCACGTTTATTCAAACGTCACCACCGAAAAATGAAAACATAGAGCAGTGCCAGTCTTATCTTACACTACAATGCCAGTGTTATCTCACATTACAGTGCCCATCTTATCTCACACTACAGTGAGGGTCCTATTTCAAACTACAGTGCCAGTCTTATTATCTAACACTACAGTGCCAGTCGTATATGACACTACAGTGCCAGTCTTATCTTACACTACAGTGCCAGTCTTATCTTACACTACAGTATCAGTGTTATCTCACACTTCAGTGCCAGTCTTATATGACCTTACAGTGCCTGTCTTATCTCAGACTACAGTGCCAATCTTATCTTAGACTACAGAGCCAGTCTTATCTCATACTAAAGTGCCAGTATTATCTCACACTACAGTGCCAGTCCTATCTCACACTACATTTCTAGTCTTATCTCACACTTCAGTGGCAGTCTTATCTCACACTACAGTGCCTGTCTTATCTCACACTACATTGCCAGTCCTATCTCACACTACAGTGCCTGTCTTATCTCACACTACAGTGCCTGTCTTTTCTCACATTACAGTGCCAGTCTTATCTCACATTACAGTGCCAGTCTTATCTCACACTACAGTGCCAGTCTTATCTCACACTACAGTGCCAGTCTTATCTCACACTACAGTGCCTGTCTTATCTCACACTACAGTGCCAGTCTTATCTCACACTACAGTGCCAGTCTTATCTCACACTACAGTGTCTGTCTTATTTCACACTACAGTGCCTGTCTAATCTCACACTACAGTGCCTGTCTTGTCTCACACTACAGTGCCTGTCTTATCTCACACTACAGTGCCAGTCTTATCTCACACTACAGTGGTTTCAGTAACCTGTTAAATGGTCGTGGATCTTCTGGAACACCACTACGACAAAACCACAGGTGCCAACAAGTCACGCAGAGTAGCGAGGTCAATGATTTGTTGCAGAGATCTGGAATTGTTTGAACTGATTAAATCAGCCTGCCACCTTCTCTGACTCCAGTTACACGTTACCGAAAGTGTCCAGAGATAGTTCTCCTTCTTTGTATACAGTTGCTCTTGTCACAATGTCATGTCTCTCCTGTCCAGGTGCCTACGTGAAGAACTTGTGCGGCTCCTCCCATTGTGAGCCATGTTCCAGTCGGTTGCCGTCTTGTGTTGGACTCTCTGACGGCAATCATGTAAGTAGCACTTGTGTTGGACTCTCTGACGGCAATAGTGTAAGTAGCACTTGTGTTGGACTCTCTGACGGCAATTATGTAAGTAGCACTTGTGTTGGACTCTCTGACGGCAATCATGTAAGTAGCACTTGTGTTGGGCTCTCTGACGGCAATCATGTAAGTAGCACTTGTGTTGGACTCTCTGACGGCAATCATGTAAGTAGCACTTGTGTTGGACTCTCTGACGGCAATCGTGTAAGTAGCACTTGTGTTGGTCTCTCTGACGGCAATCATGTAAGTAGCACTTGTGTTGGACTCTCTGACGGCAATCATGTAAGTAGCACTTGTGTTGGACTCTCTGACGGCAATCATGTAAGTAGCACTTGTGTTGGACTCTCTGACGGCAATTATGTAAGTAGCACTTGTGTTGGACTCTCTGACGGCAATCATGTAAGTAGCACTTGTGTTGGACTCTCTGACGGCAATCATGTAAGTAGCACTTGTGTTGACCCTCATTCATATCTTATACATCACTGTTTTATGCGAGCACATCTCTACATAACCTACAGTTTGTGGCTGATTACCATATCAAATCTGTGTAATGTTTCATTGCACAGATTCCAATAGATGTGTTCACGGGTATCCATATGACATGTTCTAATGATGTGTGCAGATCTAGTTAGTTGTTTAACAGACATACTGGATGGTTGGTTGGCCAACTGGTTATTTGCGTGGCTGGCTGGTTAGCTGGCCGGAACACATTTTGAATATTTACAATGTGGCTTTCAAACCAATCTGCTTCCATTGTTAAAAAAAAATCAAATGAGAAAAGCGATATCACAATCACTGCCATAGATTTTAGCTCTGGCGATCACACCAGCCACCTCTGCTTTGAAAATCGCTCCATTCACAGTTTTGGCACTCTCGGTCTTCCAAGGAACAGTATTCAGCACACATTTTTTTTTTCTATTGTCTTCCACCCCAACTCCCATTTTTCTTATTTATTTAGTTCCTTCAGTAAACGAGCTCCTCATTTTCATATTTTGTCCTGATATGTATTTCTGGTTTTATGTTGACTGTTTATTAGCGGCCACAGTTTGTGCTGTATTTGGTATATCTTAGCACTGAGCAACAATTATAGATAGCCTTATAGTCCAGACACTTGCAGAATCCGCCCACTGTCGTTCTCTTGGACCATCCTACGCTATCTGACGTGTTCAATCAGGTGTCAGTCGACCTATATCCGTTTAATGCGGTGATCTCCAACATAATATTTTTTCTCTTCATCCTCCCACCCCCCTTTATTTTTCAGTATGTGGCAAGACTCCATGTCCCCTTTCTGTATTTTATAGGACCCCGAGCCCCTTGGGTGAATGACAAGATCCCCATACTCCTCACGTATATGACAAAATTTCCCGCCACCTTAAGTATATGACAAGATCCCCACGCCGCCTTAAGTATATGACAAGATCCCCACGCCGCCTTAAGTAAATGACAAGATCTCAACGCCGCCTTAAGTATATGACAAGATCCCCACACCGCCTTAAGTATATGACAAGATCCCCACGCCGCCTTAAGTAAATGACAAGATCCCCACGCCGCCTTAAGTATATGACAAGATCCCCACGCCGCCTTAAGTATATGACAAGATCCCCACACCGCCCTAAGTATATGACAAGATCCCCACGCCGCCTTAAGTATATGACAAGATCCCCAGGCCGCCTTAAGTATATGACAAGATCCCCACGCCGCCTTAAGTGTATGACAAGATCCCCACGCCGCCTTAAGTATATGACAAGATTCCCAGGCCGCCTTAAGTATATGACAAGATCCCCACGCCGCCTTAAGTATATGACAAGATCCCCAAGCCGCCTTAAGTATATGACAAGATCCCCACGCCTCCTTAAGTATATGACAAGATTCCCAAGCCGCCTTAAGTATATGACAAGATCGCCACGCCGCCTTAAGTAAATGACAAGATCCCCACGCCGCCTTAAGTATATGACAAGATCCCCACGCCGCCTTAAGTATATGACAAGATCCCCACGCCGCCTTAAGTAAATGACAAGATCCCCACGCTGCCTTAAGTAAATGACAAGATCCCCACGCCGCCTTAAGTATATGACAAGATCCCCACGCCGCCTTAAGTATATGACAAGATCCCCAGGCCGCCTCAAGTAAATGACAAGATCTCAACCCCCACACCCTAGAAAAACACAATGTGATTTAAAAAAAAAAAAAAGAAAAATAGATTCCGCAACAAGAAAACAGAAAGGAAAGTATGGCGATAATTTCAGTCAGAGTTTGTTCTTCATGATGAAGAAATTGGAAATGTCACAAACTTTGAATATCTAGGCTCTATAATGAACAACAATGGAGACTGTTCAACAGAAATTAAAAGGAGGATGGCCATAGCAATGCAAAGATTGAACAGCCTTTAAAAGTGTATGGTTAAGCACCAACAAGGAGAGCATGCATCTTCCCTGTGGCTACATACGGATGTGAGTCGTGGACTATCTCTCAGTCCTTAAGAAAGAGAATAGGGGCTTTTGAGCTGAAGTTCTATAGAAAGATTCTCAGAATATCTTGGACAAAGAAGATGAGAAATATTGGCATCTCAAAAGAACATCAAGGAAGATTGGCTAATAAACAGCATCCTTTCTCGAAAGCTGAAATTTTTTGGTCACATCAAGCGCCACGACGGATTGGAAACAATTATAGCAGAAGGCATGGTACCAGGAAGGAGTGGCAGGGGCCGACCGACACGAAGATGGGCACAGGATATAGGTGACTCCTTGAATGTGAAAGTGCATGAGGCGGGAGAACTGGCAAGAGATCTAGTTTCTTTCAGGCAGACTGTGATGAGAGCGACGTTCTGCAAAAGACCTGCTACATGATTATGATGATGTGTGTTCTTCATCTATTATTAAATGCGCCAGTTATCGTGATGTTTAACGGTAGATCTACAAACTGCTCATGAAAACAAGTTTTTTTTATTATTATTATTATTATTATTGTCATTTTATTAGGTAATTGTTTTTTTTTTTTTTTTTTTTTTTAATTAATTCTCTTTTATTTTTTTTAAACAAAATGTCAGTGAAACGGATTATTGCAAATACAAATGTACTGATTTTCAACATTACTTGAAACCTGCTTGCGACCTCTCGGAGGCCAGGCTTCCAGCTTCTGAACCACTGGTCTAATCGAAAACAGAGGGAAATTTGAGTAGCAGAGCATTTTCCACAATGGCTACACATCAGCCAGTGGAAATCTGGAAAGTGAGTCCAAACTGTTCCACAATGGCTACACATCAGCCAGTGGAGGTCTGGGAAGTGAGTCCTACTGTTCCACAATGGCTACACATCAGCCAGTGGAGGTCTGGAAAGTGAGACCAATCTGTCCCACAGGAAGAATCGGATGGACTCCGACCACGTGACTGATAGACATCTTGTCTTCCCAGTTAACTACCGCACACTGAATATGTGTTATGAAAATTAGCGGAAGCCGTGTCAGAATGGTCAGTGCGGTAGGTCAGCTAGGATGGACAGTGAGGCGAGTCAGTTAGGATGGGCAGTGCAACGGGTCATTTGGGATGGGCAGTGCGGCGGGTCAGTTAGGATGCGCAGTGCGGTGAGTCAGAATGGGCAGTGCTGCGGGTCAGTTAGGATAGATAGTGCGGCGGGTCAGTTAGGATAGATAGTGCAGCGGGTCAGTTAGGATAGATAGTGCGGCGAGTCAGTTAGGATAGATAGTGCGGCGGGTCAGCTAGGATGGGCAGTGCGGCGGGTCAGTTAGGATGGGCAGTGCGACGGGTCAGTTAGGATGGGCAGTGCGGCGGGTCTGTTAGGATGGGCCGTGCGGCGGGTCAGTTAGGATGGGCAGTGCGGCGGGTCAGTTAGGATGGGCAGTGCGGCGGGTCAGTTAGGATGGGCAGTGCGGCGGGTCAGTTAGGATGGGCAGTGCGGCGGGTCAGTTAGGATGGGCAGTGCGACGGGTCAGTTAGGATGGGCAGTGCGACGGGTCAGTTAGGATGGGCAGTGCGGCGGGTTAGTTAGGATGGGCAGTGCGGCGGGTCAGTTAGGATGGACAGTGCGGCGGGTCAGTTAGGATGGGCAGTGCGGCGGGTTAGTTAGGATGGGCAGTGCAACGGGTCAGTTAGGATGGGCAGTGCGGCGGGTCAGTTAGGATGCGCAGTGCGACAGTGTTATGTGATAAAAAACAAATTCTTGTGGCTGAACAAAAACTTAGTGGTAAAAATGTACAGTGTAACAATATACCGGGTTAGGCGGACATGTTAGCTGAAAGGATTCACTTTCGTTCTTCATTAAATGTAGCTTTAGAAGTAGTGATCATGACGAGATACAAGCAAATTTAACTTTAGAAGTTGTGAACATGACGAGATACAAGCAAATGTAACTTTAGAAGTAGTGAACATGACGAGTTACAAGCAAATGTAACTTTAGAAGTAGTGAACATGACGAGATACAAGCAAATGTAACTTTAGAAGTAGTGAACATGACGAGATACAAGGAAATGTAACTTTAGAAGTAGTGAACATGACGAGTTACAAGCGAATGTAACTTTAGAAGTTGTGAACATGACGAGATACAAGCAAATGTAACTTTAGAAGAAGTGAACATGACGAGATACAAGCAAATGTAACTTTAGTAGTAGTGCACATGACGAGATACAAGCAAATGTAACTTTAGAAGTATTGAACATGACGAGATACATGCAAATGTAACTTTAGAAGTAGTGAACATGACGAGATACAAGCAAATGTAACTTTAGTAGTAGTGTACATAAAGAGATACAAGCAAATGTAACTTTAGAAGTAGTGATCATGACGAGATACAAGCAAATGTAACTTTAGAAGTAGTGAACATGACGAGATACAAGCAAATGTAACTTTAGAAGTAGTGAACATGACGAGTTACAAGCAAATGTAACTTTAGAAGTAGTGAACATGACGAGATACAAGCAAATGTAACTTTAGTAGTAGTGTACATAAAGAGATACAAGCAAATGTAACTTTAGAAGTAGTGAACATGACGAGATACAAGCTAATGTAACTTTAGAAGTAGTGAACATGACGAGATACAAGCTAATGTAACTTTAGTAGTAGTGAACATGACAAGATACAGGCAAATGTGATAGTCATCAAACTGTTAAGCCTTCTGTTGGTGTCATTTTTTTTTCTTCTTTCTTCCTCCTCTTCTTCTTCTTCTTCTTCTTTTTCTTCTTCTTCTTCTCCTCTTCCACCTTGTACCTCAGCGAAATGTCGGGAGTGATGTAATGTTCGTTGATGAACTCTGTCAAGAACACTGTGGATTGATGTTTATTTCTGTAAGTTAATGCCATCACTCCATATTTTCCGAGGTCTTTAGCTCGCTCTATACCCGTTGTAACGTTTCAGTGTGGTTCGCTGTGGCAGATAGTACCAGGGCATTCTTGTTGACACGTTGTAACGTTTCAGTGTGGCTCGCTGTGGCAGATAGTACCAGGGCGTTCTTGTTAACACGTTGTAACGTTTCAGTGTGGCTCGCTGTGGCAGATAGTACCAGGGCATTCTTGTTGACACGTTGTAACGTTTCAGTGTGGCTCGCTGTGGCAGATAGTACCAGGGCGATCTTGTTGACACGTGGTAACGTTTCAGTGTGGCTCGCTGTGGCAGATAGTACCAGGGCGATCTTGTTGACACGTTGTAACGTTTCAGTGTGGCTCGCTGTGGCAGATAGTACCAGGGCGTTCTTGTTGACACGTTGTAACGTTTCAGTGTGGCTCGCTGTGGCAGATAGTACCAGGGCATTCTTGTTGACACGTTGTAACGTTTCAGTGTGGCTCGCTGTGGCAGATAGTACCAGGGCATTCTTGTTGACACGTTGTAACGTTTCAGTGTGGCTCGCTGTGGCAGATAGTACCAGGGCGTTCTTGTTAGAAGTCCAGACCACTTCATTTGTTGTTCTTTTTGTAACCCTTTGAAAATAAAGTTCGTTCATTCGTTCATTGGTGACCTGTAAAACTGGCTTTATACTTACAGTAAACAATGTGGCATATTTCCCCAATACGTTATTATATTGTTCAATGCTGTATGATATTTCACTAATTGTTAAAGTTCACTGACATTTGTTATTTTTCAATAAAGTAATTGTTTGCCTATTATCTCTGACACGACAGGCTCACCCCAGCAGACAGTGGAGTCCCTACTACATTGTCTGTGACACCGAGAGGACCATAAATATCACCAGGTGCCCGACACATGCCCCCACAGGCACTTCTGGCATCTTCTCTCCCACCACCGATAGTTGTGTGTCTGTGTGGGAGGTGCCCCAGGAACAAGGAGGCCTGCAGCCATCATGCCAGGGAAAGGTCCCTGGGCTGTACCGAGTCACCGACAAGCCGGACGTCTATTACTCATGTCCTGGACCTCAGGTGTTCTACTGTGGCCAGAACCTGCAGTTCAACGAGACCACGAAACGTTGCCAGGCGCCCTAGGAGAAGGCAGCAAACATTTACTAAACACAGCTGGGGATGTAGCCATAAATCAAACCAACAAGATGTCTAAAGACCTGTTACTATGACAAATGTTTTGATGGCTATCGATCAATCTAAATCTCAAGGTGTCTCTGACTCTCATTGTCTGTCACTGCTGTTGTTGTGATGGTTATTGATCTATCTAAATCTCACAGATGTCTCTGACTATCATTGTCTGTCACTGCTGTTGTTGTAATGGTTATTGATCTATCTAAATCTCACAGATGTCTCTGACTATCATTGTCTGTCACTGCTGTTGTTGTAATGGTTATCGATCTATCTAAATCTCACAGATGTCTCTATCAATATTATGTCTTATAGTCTTCTTTCTGGTGTTGTCATTGTAATACAGTCTATCTTCTCCCCATTGGGACACATCTAGACTTCCAACAGTGAGCCTGAATGCTGGCACGTGACACTGTATGAGACTGCATTCCTGTCAGCTTTAACTGTCTTCCTGTCTTCACTACAACTGTCTTGCAGTTCTGGAAATAGCCGTGTGCGATGTATACACCTTAGATTGTCCGGCTGCTTGCACTTGGTTGTACGTTAGTGTAAGTTCTAACTTCGGCTGCTTGCACTTGGTTGTACGTTATTGTAAGTTCTAACTTCGGCTGCTTGTACTTGGTTGTACGTTAGTGTAAGTTCTAACTTCGGCTGCTTGCACTTGGTTGTACGTTATTGTAAGTTCTAACTTCGGCTGCTTGTACTTGGTTGTACGTTAGTGTAAGTTCTAACTTCGGCTGCTTGCACTTGGTTGTACGTTAGTGTAAGTTCTAACTTCGGCTGCTTGTACTTGGTTGTACGTTATTGTAAGTTCTAGCTTCGGCTGCTTGTACTAGGTTGCACGTTATTGTAAGTGCTAACTTCAGCTGCTTGTACTTGGTTGTAGGAGGGTGCTCACTTCAGCTGCCTGCACTTGGTGGTACGTAAGTGCTCACTTCAGCTGCCTGCACTTGGTTGTACGTAAGTGCTCACTTCAGCTGCCTGCACTTGGTTGTACGTAAGTGCTCACTTCAGCTGCCTGCACTTGGTTGTACGTAAGTGCTCACTTCAGCTGCCTGCACTTGGTGGCACGTTATTGTAAGGGCTAACTTCGGCTGCTTGCACTTGGTTGTACCTAAGTGCTCACTTCAGCTGCCTGAACTTGGTTGTACGTAAGTGCTCTTTTCAGCTGCCTGCACTTGGTGGCACGTTATTGTAAGGGCTAACTTCGGCTGCTTGCACTTGGTTGTACCTAAGTGCTCACATCAGCTGCCTGCACTTGGTTGTACGTAAGTGCTCACTTCAGTTGCCAGCACTTGGGTTTAGGTAAGATATTTGTCGAGCTGATGTATACGATACCCCTGCCGCCCCATCCCTTGTCAATGGGGATAGGGGAGGCTTGTCCTTTGTTGATAAAAGTAAAACAATGCACCAGTAAGATTTTTATTATGTGATCACAATCGACGTCGCATACTGCCTGTTGCTGTTTTCTAAAGCCTGTTGCTGTTTTCTGAAGCATGTTGCTGCTTTCTGAAGCCTGTTGCTGCTTTCTGAAGCATGTTGCTGTTTTCTGAAGCATATTGCTGTTTTCTAAAGCCTTTGGTTGTTTTCTGAAGCAAGTTGCTGTTTTCTGGAGCATGTTGCTGTTTTCTAAAGCCAGTTCTTGTTTTCTGAAGCATGTTGCTGTTTTCTGGAGTATGTTGCTGTTTTCTGAAGCATGTTGCTGCTTTCTGGAGCATGTTGCTGCTTTCTGGAGCATGTTGCTGTTTTCTGGAGCAGGTTGCTGTTTTCTGGAGCATGTTGCTGTTTTCTGAAGCCTGTTGCTGTTTTCTAAAGCCTGTTGCTGTTTTCTGAAGCATGTTGCTGTTTTCTGGAGCAGGTTGCTGTTTTTTGGAGCATGTTGCTGTTTTCTGAAGACTGTTGCTGTTTTCTAAAGCCTGTTGCTGTTTTCTGAAGCATGTTGCTGTTTTCTGGAGCATGTTGCTGTTTTCTGGAGCCCGTTGCTGTTTTCTAAAGCCTGCTGCTGTTTTCTGAAGCCTGTTGCTGTTTTCTGGAGCATGTTGCTGTTTTCTGAAGCATGTTGCTGTTTTCTGAAGCCTGTTGCTGTTTTCTGAAGCATGTTGCTGCTTTCTAGAGCATGTTGCTACTTTCTGGAGCATGTTGCTGTTTTCTGTAGCATGTTGCTGTTTTCTGGAGCATGTTGCTATTTTCTGAAGCATGTTGCTGTTTTCTGAAGCATGTTGCAGTTTTCTGAAGCATGTTGCTGTTTTCTGAAGCATGTTGCTGTTTTCTGAAGCCTGTTGCTGTTTTCTGAAGCCTGTTGCTGTTTTCTGGAGCATGTTGCTGCTTTCTGGAGCATGTTGCTGTTTTCTGAAGCCTGTCGCTGTTTTCTGAAGCATGTCGCTGTTTTCTGGAGCATGTCGCTGTTTTCTGAAGCATGTTGCTGTTTTCTGAAGCATATCGCTGTTTTCTGGAACATGTTGCTGTTTTCTGGAGCCTGTTGCTGTTTTCTGGAGCATGTTGCGTGTGTCTGTGTTATTTATCTTCACATTTGTAGATTGTTTTTTTAGACAAACATTGTTTTATTAGATAAACAGACTGAACTCTTACTATTGTGTCTATAGATTTAAAGAGGAATGCAATTGTTCCGACTGTGTGTATATGCGCGTGCGCGTCTTTTGTTCTGTCAAACATCTGTTTATTGCTGCTCATCCCGCTGGTTGGTGGCAAATGCTACAGAGCAGTTGCAGGACACATTTCCAGCCAGTCATTTATTCAATTGACACAAGGTCAAGGTTTATTACTGGGTCAGGCCAAACTAGTCACTAGGAAATATCTTGGGAAGCAAAGGCAACGGAAGTGATTCTGGCCAGACTACCTGTCAACGTGACACTAGCGAGCCAGTGCAGGTTTGTTAGCCATCGTATCCATGACAACATATTCCCAGTGTCACGTGGTCTCCCCTTTGTCTCTGGGATTGAGGAACTCACCAGTCAGGGAAACAACTCACCAGTCAGGGGAGGATCTCACCGAGTTAGGGAAACAACTCACCACTCAGGGGAGGATCTCACCAGTCAGGGGAACAACTCACCACTCAGAGGAGGATCTCACCGAGTCAGGGAAACAACTCACCACTCAGAGGAGGATCTCACCGAGTCAGGGAAACAACTCACCAATCAGGGAAGATCTCACCAGTCAGGGGAACAAGTCCCCATTCAGGAAAGATCTCACCAGTCAGGGGAACAAGTCACCACTCAGGACAGATCTCACCAGTCAGGGGAACAAGTCACCATTCAGGAAAGATCTCACCAGCCAGGGGAACAAGTCACCATTCAGGAAAGATCTCACCAGTCAGGGGAACAAGTCACCATTCAGGAAAGATCTCACCAGTCAGGGGAACAAGTCACCATTCAGGAAAGATCTCACCAGTCACGAAGTGAACAAGTCACCATTCAGGAAAGATCTCACCAGTCGGGAACAAGTCACCATTCAGGAAAGATCTCACCAGTCAGGGGAACAAGTCACCATTCAGGAAAGATCTCACCAGTCAGGGGAACAAGTCACCATTCAGGAAAGATCTCACCAGTCAGGGGAACAAGTCACCACTCAGGAAAGATCTCACCAGTCAGGGGAACAAGTCACCACTCAGGAAAGATCTCACCAGTCAGGGGAATAACTTTCTAGTCAGACGAGGATCTCACCAGTCAGGGGAACAACTTACCAGTCGGGGAAACAACTCACTAGATCAGGGGAACAACTCACCACTCAAGGGAGGATCTCACCAGTCAGGGGAACAATGCACCATCAGGAAAGATCTCATCAGTCAGGGGAACAACTTACCACTCAGAGGAGGATACATATCACCATTTAAGGAAAGATCTCACAATTCAGGCAAACCTCTAACAACTCAGGAGGAAATTTCACCATTCAGATAAATATCTTACCGGTCAGGGGGAACAACGCACCACTGAGGAAAGATGTCACAACTCAGGAAGATGTCACCACTCGTGGAATATCTCACCAATCAGGCAAGATCTAACTACTCACCACTCAGGCTAAGATATCACCACTCAGGGATGGATCTCTCCACTCAGTGGAAGATCTCCCAACTTACCACTCAGGGAAGATACCACCAACCCAGCAATCTCACCACTCAGGGGGAACATCTCACCACTCAGGGGGAACATCTCACCCCTCAGGGGGAACATCTCACCATTCAGGGGAACATCTCACCACTCAGGGGGAACATCTCACCATTCAGGGGGAACATCTCACCACTCAGGGGGAACATCTCACCATTCAGGGGGAACATCTCACCACTCAGACAAGATCTTACCACTCACTGGAAGAGGTCTCGGGCAGTTAGCATCCTTTGAATATTTTCTGAAGGTTAAGCCGTGTGATAGGATATGAGCAGACAGAGAGACTGGCTGGTTCTGCACCGCTTGGTGGTATGATAGGCTAGATGTTGTGAGGGCCCTTTAGGAGCGAGTGAACAGTGCGGAGGTACAGATAGATCATTACGGTCTGAGGATAATGTCACTGCGAGGAGTTAACCAGGGAATCTGGCCGACGCTCAACACTCAAGGGAAAGACGAGACGGAATATAATTAGACTGTGACTGGTACCATTGGAACTGGAACTCTTCATTTGCTGCTGAAGATTGGGACGGAGCACTTATTAGAGTGTCCTAAATCCTATGATGTCGATTTCTAATTTAACAATCAACACGCGAGATGGAACTCCGGCTCAAAGATGGTTGACATGGAAATAGTCATATGTAGACGTTAGGAGCCGTGGCGATGAGGATGATCATTGTGATGGTCTCTTGTCGCGCTGGCACAATTTGTACGTCTGTTGATTGTACGTCTGGGCCACGTTCTGATGCCATCTTGACTTGCCGTTTAATCATCAGAGCTGCTGTCGGGGACAGGAATGAAGCAGTGTCGGAAATAGAGTCAAGATAAGGACCAAGA